ATATAAGGAGCTAATCAAACATATAAGAACTCAGAAAGAAAATTAATCACATGGTCTTTTGACAAATTTATTTGGAAGAATATTCCAGCATGCTAGGAAATAAATTCAATAAACAGAATTCAAATATAAGTATGTTCCAATATAAAAATTGTGACAGTGGACAATGAAGCCAATTTCTATTAATTTACCATTAATATCTACTTAACCAATCTGCAGAAGATTTTGAAACTTAATACAAATGCTAAAAATAATTATTTTAGAAAGATTTGTTAATGTAGAAAAGAAGTTAATAAAATAATCTGCATCTAAAGGGTTTAACATAGTCAAATGCTATGGAGAAATTAAAGAGAATAAAGGATTAACAAGATTTATTTGAATTTGGCTGTTTGGATCTAAAGGGTTGCTGGGGTGAAAGCAAGAAGGAAGAAGGAATGAAGATGTGATGAATCATTCATTTTACATGGGGAATGTCATTTCACTCCTGATAGACAAATATGAGTTTATACTCTTTAAATAATTAAGAATAACTACTGGGAGACTAGAAATAAGTAACTTTCAGACAATATACAGGAGGGGGGCAGGAAAAAGACCAGGGTTAAGTAGAACAATGTTAGGGAAAAATAAAAAGAGAGCAGGAGAGAAAAAAGTCAAAAAATATATAAAATAAAATGACAGAAATAAGACCAATACATGTGAATGGGATAAAATCTACTGATAAAAGATAAAGACATACTGGATCAACAAATAAAATTCAACTATATACTGTTTGCAAGGCGCACATTTGAAGCAAAATGATATGAAACAGTTAAAAAAAAAAGAGAGATGAGCAAGGATATGCCAGGGAAATGCAAACAAAACAAGAATAATATTAATGAACAAAACAGCATTGAAGCCAAGAAGAATGATTAAATTAGACAAATTTATCAAACAGAAAAAAGTAAAATCTACAATGAATATATAAAAGCTAAGTATAGCACTGAAATATTTTAAAACTATTAAAAATGCAAGAGAAACTTAACAGAACTATCAGCAGAGCAGAAGATTTTACATTCCACTGGAAGATCAAATAGTCAAAAGTAAATAAGAATATTTTAAAAATTGAATAATACAATTATAATTCCAGAAATTAAAAACAAAATAATAGACCCAAAAATCAAGATACTTAGAAATTAAAAAGTACTCTTCTAAACTCTTTGGTCAGCAAAACGGTACAAATTCGAAAGAAAATACTATTAGTATGACATCATATTTTCCATGGTTTATGTGACGTTTGGTCAAAGATACACTCAGTGGAAAATCTATAACACAAATATTTTCTTATTAAGCAAGAAACAGTAACACTTAAGCATTAAAACTTAAGATGTAAAAAACTGAGCATTATATAGAACTCTAAGCTATTTAATTTGAAAACTTTTTTAAATTGACTTTTTTTACTAGAAAAAAAATAAAATAACAAAATTGACTTAAGAAGTTTCCAACCCTTTTTGGGGGGATATGTGGAACCGAGTCTCACTCTGTTGAGAGAGTAGACTGGAGTGGAGTGCAGTGGCACTATCTCAGCTCACTGCAACCTCCACCTCCCAGGTTCAGGTATTTCTCATGCCTCAGCCTCCCAAGTAGCTGGGATTACAGGCGTGCACCACCACACCCGGTTAATTTTTGTATTTTTAGTAGAGACAAGGTTTTGCCATGTTGCCCAGGCCGGTCTCTAACCCCAGGCTTCAAGGAATCTGCCCACCTCGGCCTCCCAAAGCACTGGGATTATAGGTGTGAGCCACCGTGCCTGGCAATTACTAATATTATACCTAAAGATATAATAATAAAGTCATCCCCATTAGAATGAGAAACAAGACAGGCATACACCTAATATATAGCCTCATTCTAGAAATGTGTGACAATTAAAATGTAACCAGAAACAAAATAAAAGTATCAATATTGAAAAAGAAGAGGAAAATGATCATTATTTCTTGATGATTTTATTGGTTAAACTGGAAAACCTAAGAGAAACAACGGAAAAAAAGCTAGAATCAGTAAGAAAGTTTGTCAGGGAGGCCACTTAAAACAATAAAATATTTTAAAAGCAATAATTTTCTTATACGCCCTAAATAAGCAGCTAGAATAATGGGAGAAACCATTCACAATAGGAATAAAAAGTAATAATAATAATGCTGTGGACATAATCAAGTTAATAAGAAATATGCAGAATATTCATAAAATAAGAAAATTTTAATGAGACACATAAAGACTTGAAAAATGAAAAGATACACTGTTTCTAGATAAAATCACTGCCTATTGTAAAGATTTCCTCCAAATTAACCTATAAACTTAATGTAATTACATTTAAGATCCAATGGGACATTTTTAAGTTGAGAAAAGTATTATAAACATAGAAGATAAACATATAGAAAAACAGAATTCTTTTAGCAGTATGGAATTGGTCAAGGAAGTTATAGGATATCAATACAAAGCAACACGTAGCAGTCATTTGAAACGTTTGTGTAGCTCTAAATTTACAGACATGGAAAGAATATCACGAAATATCAAGTTGAAAAAGCAAATTGTAACTTTGCTTATCTTAGTTTGAGCCCATTTGGATACGTTAAATACATAAACAAAAAAAAAATAAAGGCTTGAAGACATACATCAAAATATCAAAAGTTATTTTTAAGAAATTATAGGTTTTTACGGGCGACAGAGCAAGACTCCGTCTCAAAAAAAAAAAAAAAAAAAAGAAATTATAGGTTTTTAAACTATTTTAAATTTTGCTTATATAATTTTTCTAATTTTTCTACAATTAATATATGTTATTATTCTGATTTAAAACAAAAAGTGTGGCCTATTTCTTACACATGCCCACTACGATCCCTGCACCCTTGAGTTTATCTAAGCCCTTCTTAAATTCTACCATATTTTGACCCATCTCTTAGAATAATATATAAAGCCACAGTTTTTCTTTTGTCTTAAAACTACCCTCAGTATGTGTCCCTTGCTCTTATTTTTCTGAGCTGTTTTTTACTAGGAAAATATTCTCACCTGATTCATTTCCTTCATGACACTGTAAATTTTTATCACATCCTACTCCACCTTCATCCTTCCAGATTGAGAGCATTAAGTAGTCAGCCCATCCTCATAAAGAAGCATTCATTTGCTCTGTCTCTATTTTTACTACATCATTAAAATGACCACATGGCCAGAACTGTGCAGTACATTCCCAATTTATTTTTCCCTAACTTCCACTGTGTAAGAGTTATTCTCCCAAATGTAAAATACCATCTTCAATACTATTTATAACAATATTCATTGAGTCAATTATGTCTATGGATTACTTCTGACTGTCCACTGGGAAAGCAGAATCTCTTAGGTCAATTTCAGCGACAACATCTATAATACTATAGCTTTTTACCTCCCAAATAGACATAGATTTGTCTAGACTACACAGATGAATTTGCATCCACATTCACAAGGAAGGCCTTTTGTGAATCAATAAGTGCGATCCTCATGTCATTTTTCTTGCTGTCAAAATGCTACAGTAAAGGAAAAAAGGTCCCAACTCAGCCCGTGTAAATTGTTAGTTTTAGGCTCTTCCCAAATTACTCTGTGTGGCCATGTACTCACAGAATGCCTGAAATGGTCTGATTAAATGTGCAGCATCACCAGGAAGAAATGGAAAATCTGCTGTTTAAATTTGGATAAAAGAGACTGAGAGTGGGAAGGGAAAAGGGTAAGACCAGGTAGTGGGCAAACATGGAGAGCCGAGGGAAAGAGTAGAGGCCAGGATTCATCTGCTCATCAAGTCAATATAACAGCGCACCTGTATGGAGGAGGTCAGCTACACAGCAGTGAGCCATTTTGATTATCATTATGAGGCTGCTCACACAGATCATTTATATGTTCACTCTTTTGCGTCCACCATTTATTGTCACATGGAAAGGGAATATTGATATCACACTTCCCCTTCATTTCTTCTCACCCAAACTGTCACAGCCTCCCAGTACAGTTCCATTCCTCTCCACTTCATCTTACACATTGGTGTCAGAGTGATATGTTTAAAGAAAGTTCTTAGGTTGTCACTTTTCTGGTTAAAAAAAAGAAAAGAAAAAAGAAAGCTGTCTCTTGGTCCCTATTGCTTCCTCTGAAAACCTTTCCGAATAGAGGAAAATCCCATCATGTGGAACATGAAGCTCCTCTAAGCCAAGCCCAGCCTCTTTTCCGAAATGCACCTTATCCCAGCTCCCAAATTCTTCCCTCCTCAGTGAAGCCCTCCCATTTGCCTTTGCTGGCCAGTCCTTCTGTATGGATTCTCTGGCTTCCACTTCTACCTGTCCAAATATCACCCATTTTCAAGATCCTCCACAATTACACTAGCTGGCAACTACATCATTACCTTCTTCCTCCTTTCCTTTCTATTCTCCAAGGACTTTTGGTGAATCTCAATAAACCCCTTAGCACAATAAGAAAACAACAAGCACAGGAAGAGAACTCACTAAATACTGGGTAGGGTGCTAAGTGTTTGAAATAGGGGATCCTTTGATTGTAAGAAATAGAAATTTTCTGGAAAAAAGCAAAAGGGATTTTATTATTAAAACTCAAGGAACCCTGGGCAAAATGTATAATCAGGAAATCAAGGAGGCACTGTCTTCTCTCTCTCTTTCTCCCTTTCACTCCCTTGCTGTCTTCCAGCAGTGCCTCTTCCTTGTTGCTAGACAGTACAGTGGAGACACTGTGAAGACACTCCCTCCCTTCCTCCACCAGCCACTACAAAACCATAGAAATGACTCAACCTCTAATTTATGAATGTTGAGTGGATATTCTTTATATGTGCAGATTATTATGTATAAAAATGATGACTAGCAAAGAACAAAAGAAGATTATTTGTATTAGGTAAATATACCCTATTTAATCAAGTCTAAGACACCACTGATTGTGGGATACCTCTCTATTTTAGGTACCATCAAGAAAGAAAAAAAAATGCCACCTTTCATAATGGTTAAGAAGCTGTCAATTGTAAGATATATCTTTATTTTTAGAGATGTTAAAATGTAAAACAATATGATTTTTTTTACATTTCCCATTTAATTATATTTTATAGGTCTCCCCAATTTTTCTCCCTATCAAACATGCAGATAACCCATCATTCTCCAATTTCTTTTAATCTCTAGCTGTTTTGTCTTGATCAACTAACTGTGTTTTTTTCTTTTTTTATTGATATACAATAGTTGTACATATTTGGGGGTACATGTCACATTTTGATACAAGTATAATGATCAAGTCAGTGTAACTGGGATATCCATCATCACAAGCATTTTTGCTTTGTGCTGAGAGCATGACAATTCTTCTCAAATACTAGAACTTATTCTTTCCATTTAACTGTATTTTTGTACTCCTTAACCAACTTCTCTTCATCCCCTTCCACAATGTGATACTTGATGAAATGTTAAATGTTGAAAATAAATTCTAAACTTGCCTTTGTGCTTTACCTAACATCACAAAAGGAGAGGTTGTTTAAACCACTTTCCAATGAGAAGCCCAAAATGACCAGCTTGCTACCACATAGACCCCCAAATGGACCCAGCAGGGAGGGCTCCTACCAGAAGCTCTCAGAAACTACTTTAACTCATCTCAAAGATGGTATCAATGACAGTAAATCAGTCATTAAAAGTCTTTTGGGTCAGACCATATACACTACACAGATAAGAACTGCAAAGAGCTGGTCATAGGTTTCCAGTCCTGAAGCAAAAGAAAAATTCCTCACTGTCTACTCCCTAGCCCTCTGAGCCAACTCAGTTCAGGAGTCCAGATGTTCAGGCAAAGTGTAGCTCTCAACCTCATCACCAAGATGAATATTTTTACTCTGCACTGCTCTCCCTTCCCTAGGGTGACTAATATGGTGGGTCTGGAACAGTGACTACTACTGCCCAGCTCAGCTTCTGCTCCCTGCTTGTACAGTGGCCTAAAAGTAGGCTGCTGTCAGGGCCAGTTATTGATCTAAAGTCCAAGAGGACAGCATACAAAAGTCTCCACAGAGTCCAACTGTTCCTGAAAATAGTTTATTCTTCCTCAATATTGCCTCTAAAATCTGTTCCCACTGTTGAATGTACCTGTGGCTCCTCCATATCCACTCCTGCATACTACTCTGCCGTGTGAATGCACAACGTAGTCACCTATCCTCCCATCAATAACACTTGGCTTACTTTCTTTTTTTTTCCTTCCTCATCAAGAGAGACTCTGCAAGTCATTGTAAACGTCTGCACAGCACGTGAGCAAATGTTTTTCCAGCACATATACCTAGACATGGAATTGCAAAATCTTAGGCTACATTCATATTCAGCTTGGCAAGATAATGCCAGATTATTTATCCAGAGTTGTTCTCTTAATTTACATTTCTATAGGAGATATGAGTTCCCATTACTTCAGACTTCACCAACAACTTGAGATAGTCAGAATTCTTAATTTTTTTGTCCATGTAGTGGAATGAAGAAGACAACATAGAGTATATTATTTATAAAGTTAATAAAACTGCTCAAAAATAAATTGTTGAGGTATATCTATACTTGTGATAAGAAATGATAAACACAAAATTCAGGATAGTAATCACCTCTAAAGAATGGTCAAGGAATGGGGTTATTGTGTTTATACATAGACATGTACATATATGTTGATTTTATTATTTCAAATAATGCATAATAAAATATTTTTCAACTGCTTTACTCTCTATTCCCATGACACTGAAACAATGGCTGCAGGCACCCTTGAAATTACTTGCTTAAAGCCTCATCATCCAAAAGAAAAAACGTTCTTCCCTTCTAGCTCCAGATAGAAAAAGATAAAATCTCAGAGAAGGAATCTGATTGGCCCAGATTAGATTCTGTGTCCCTCTCTGAACCAATCACTGTGACCAGAGGTAATAAACACTAACTGACCTATCTTGGGCCCACTTCTGTGGCCACAGGGATAGAATCTGTTGCCATAAAGTGTGAGGTGGCATGGAGCAGTGTGAAAAGGCAACGCATGACAAAATCTTATGAAGTGTCATTATCATCATCTTCTGAAGATCATGGAAATGATAGATGGCAGGGCTGGATTCAAACCCAGATCTGCATGACTCCAAAGCCTAGTCACTTCAGTTCCAGCTTCTGCTGGATGAAAATATTGAGTTTTCCTTAGTGTTATGCCAAGATTTCCTTAAAGGCCAGGATCCTGTCTTATTTATCTGTGTCCTTCCACCTGGCACTTTTTAGGTGTCTTGTAGAATTAATTAAATCACCAAACCACAGATTGCTTACTCGAACATATTCTTGTATCAATGTGGATGTGACCATGTCTGAGACCAGCTGTGTGGGTCTTGTGCTCACAAGAGAACAGATGGGGATTTGAAGAGTGGGAAGGGGTGGAACATTTTAATTTCAAGAACATTTTAGCATCACAAAATTCAAAAGAGAAATAGCAATACTAGAAATTTTATATTCAAAGTTGCCTGATAATCAAAAGTGAGCATAATAAGAGTAGCAAGGCATAGCTAGCATATATTTTTCTTATGGAGAAAATTATGACCTTCCAGATTTGTTATTTCCAGTATGTTTTTTGATTAACTCTTTGGACAGGAAAGTGGGATTTGGTGGGGCCAAAGGAGGAACTTTTTCTTTGACTGCATCATTTCAATTGTTATTTTTAAAAAATGTATTCATGAGATACTTGCAAAATTAAAAATAAAGAAATAAAATGATTAAAAGTTTACTGCCTAAATATGTATTTTAAGTCTGTTGGCAATAATTACCAGTTTTCCGTCTCTTTCCACTTTGCCCAGCCATGATGTGAAGATATTGTTCAAGAAATGATCTTTATCATCATCTGTTTTCATTTGGGTAATGTTAGTTTCTATCTTTTTTCTTCCATAGAATTACATCTTTTCCTGAGACTTGTCTTTTACATTCGTTGTGAAGCCTAAAATAAGACAAACAAACACAAAAACATTTCTTTAAGTGCATTCTTCTCACTTCTCGTTGCTCATTCTGTCTTGCTTTGGAATGCTTCTAGCCTCCTCAGGATTTTGGATGCACATATCTAAACTTTTTATCTTCATTTTAGTCTTTCAACCCTTTTGTTCTCTTTTCTTTGTTCCAGAAAAAATTATGCCTTATTTTAAGTGACTCACCATTGTATTGCTTCCTTGGCTTGCATAGCCATTAAGTTGAACATAGTCTATTAATTCAGAGTTGTGTGTTGTGTTGGTTCAGGCTGCTTCTAATTTTGCTAAAGGATCTGTTACGTGGCTGCAATTAATTTATTTTTAAACATTTTCTTTCTTTTCTTCTGTCCTCTTCTCTGTATTATCCAATCTGATATCTACCAGAGCATTATACTCTGATCCAAATTTTGGCCCATTCCAAATTTCAAATTTTCCTTTTTTTCCCCCTCCCATTAGACTCATTTTGTTTCTAATTATAATCCGACTACCCACAGGCTTGTTTCACCAGAGGCCATAACACCAGTGTTTATTCAAGGAATTTCTGAAGTGAGTTTTATCCTGCATTTACTAGGAAAAAGGAGAGGGGAAGGGAGTATAAAAATAGAAAATAATAATTGTTTCAATCTTGAATTCAAATATCCCCTATTGACTGTGTACACTGCTAGGATTCTCTGAGCCCTTATTTAATCCTACTATTGCTTTGCCTTTATTGACTTGTACATCTAGTGGGCTCAAAATAAGCAACGAAGACCCAAGAACCCTGACTCAAGACTTCTCATCCTTCCCCTAGTCCTTTTCCCTTACCTCTCATTTAACAAACACTAGGTCCAAATTTACTCTTGTTCTCTGGACAAAAGAAACGTTTCCTTTCACCTTCCTCTCCAGTCTAGAAGTGGTAGGCAAAAAGGGCATGGTCTAGCTGGACCTAGGACAATTTTTGACATAACATTACTGTCATGGCCCAAGAGCGAGATCTTAGCATACTTAACTCATGGAAAGCCACCATGCAGGGAACAGAAAATAGTTATTTTGTGGGGTTAATTAAATCTCCAAACTACAGATTCCTTATTTGAACACATTCTTATATCAACATGGATGTGATCATGTCTGAAACCAGCTGTGTTGGTCTTGTGCTCACACAGAACAGATGGGAATGAGAGCTCCTTTCCTGGAATATCAGAAAGAATGGGACCTTCAGTAGAGTCCATGCTCCACATGGTCCTCTCAGGGCTACCTGCCAGATGTGGGGTTCATGTGACTACAGTCATGGGCAAAATGACTCTGCCTCCAAGATGAGATCGGTAGCACTGTGCATCTACCCTAACTATGAATCCAGTACGGTGCCTTCTCTGCTTCAGGTATCAGACTAAGAGAAAATTTGGGATTAAAAGCTTGCACAAATGTTTCCCTCATGTCTTGTGGAGACACACAAAGGCCTGTGGAAAAACAGAAACTTGACATCAGAGAGAAGTTGGGTCCTAATGAAAGGGCTCTGGCCATGTAGGCCTGGTTCACTGGGAGAGCCCCGACTGCGACACACATCTGCCTGTCTTGCTGGGCACCAGACGTCAGTGGAGGCTGGAGTAAGCAGATGCACTCAGTCTGTCTCCTAGTCACAAAAGTTTCCACCATCACCCCCACCATGATTCACTAACCCAAGTCTGGAAACCCCCAGTACAGGACCAAACCTCACAGAAAAGCATGAAGATGTCCCCAAGTCTTTTCCAGGCAAAGTTAACGCTTCCTGTTGGTTAGAACAGATGCCAGTGAGGCCAAGACTTAAGCAATACATGAAACAGTTCCTCACAGGGAAACATTCCGCTCCAGAGTCAGAAACTAAACCTGTAAGCCTAGCCAGCCAAACATTTTGCAACCATGACCATAATGAAGTCAGTTAATTTTCTTTTCAATTTTCTACTGTTTGAAGGGATATTGTCACTTTAAATTCTATGTCAGAGGCAGTCTCTAAAGAAGTTGGTTCCTGGAAAAAAGTAGCCAAGGGCTGTAGATGAAGAGCAAGATGGAAAAAGATTCCTTCTGAGAAAGCAGAAAAAAATATAAGTAGCAGAATCAGAAAAGCCTCCTATGATTACAGCAAGCCAGACGTATTTGAATATCTGTTCTATAGATGCAAAGGAAAATATATGTGCTTCATGGTAGATTCTAAATTCAGAAATGAGAAACTGAATTAAAGATATACCAAAAACGATTGATTGTTCTCCTCTCACTGAAAACCATCTCCCTCACAACCAGCTCAGGACATCTTCGCATGGATAAAGAAAGTAGGATACATAAGAGAAACTACCAGTGAGTTGAAGCCAAGATAAGGAGGGGCGACAGGTTAAGAATAGAAAATGCTCTCATTCACTGTTGATGGGAGGGTAAATTGGTACATTTCTGGAAAAGAGTTTGGTAACATATTTATCAAAATCCTTCAAAATATATATCACCTTTGACTTAGTATCCCTACTCCCAGGCATCTGCCCTAAGAAAATCATAAGAAAGGTAAGGAAATACGCATGTCACAGAATTATTTACAATGGTGAATAGTTAGACATCTATATACACAACAGGAGAATTCACACTATAGAAAATTATGCAGGTATTTAAATTGCCACCTTTTAGAGTAGTCAGTAATCTGTAACATGTTATGAGTAACATGCTCATAACATTTTAATGGAAAAGAATAGATGCAAAATAAAACAAGTAGAACTATCACAGGTTTTTACTTATTTTTGGAAGGAAATACAATATTAATAGTGGCTATCTCTAGGCAGCAGAATCACAGTTCATATTACCAATTTGCAGCATCAAACCAGTACTACTTTTACAATCACCGAAAACTTATTTTTAAAAGAAAATTTAAAGGTTTATGCTATAAACTTTTAGGGTAGGAAAGGGAGGTAGAATATAAAATTCTATAGAAAAAAAAGGCCTGAAAAAATACTTAAAATATTAATGTTTGTTATTTTTACATTATAGGTCACTGTATAACTTTTCGCTTTCTACTTTTTCATATTTTCACATTTTTCCTTGAAGAGAATATACCCCTTTTATACTGAAAGAAATTTTTTAAAGAAAAACATAATATAATAAACAAGAGCATGTAGAGATTCTCATCAAGAAGAACTAAACATCTAAGAAGTATAGAAGGGACTTGTTCTTTTATTGAAAGATAAATAGGATGAGAGGACCTTTTCATGTTGCTCCAAAAATTGGTTACCAAACCCAAAGCTAGTAACAAAGAACCATAATGACACCACATTTTAAAGAAAGCCAAAAATAAGGTGAGGGGGGTGCCTCTGATGAGAGAGGCTGAACTTGCTCAGCTACCCCATCAAGCCCCCCACCTCTCTCCAGTTTAAATACACAGACAACTATGAGGTATAGGGGTTTTAAGGAGAATCTTTGTAATCATGAGTCATTGGTGTAGCCCATGGAAGAGCCCTAGAGTTTGCAGGTGTGGTGGCCATGAAAATGTGCTCTCAGATCTCCTACTGCAGAGAACATAACAGCCCAGTTGCTGCAGACTGCCATCTACCACCGCACTGGAACCAAGATCATGCTTTCCTTTGGCTGAGGGACACGAAGGCAGGCTCATTCCTGGCAGCCTTGATGGAACTATCTTAGAACCATACTGTTGTCTAATACCATGCTTCTTTTTTCTTCCCTGTCTCCTTCACAGGGTTCTGATCAACATCACGACCTGGTAGTGCTCTCAACCTCCTCCATCTCCTGCTCTTTCTCCTTCACAAGCATTTTTCCCCCAATAAATCCCTTGCACATCTAATCCCATTTTGGCATCTGTGTCTCTAAAGACCTGGATGAATACAGGAGTACTCCACTCGCTAATATAGAGCCGACAGCAACAGAGAGTTTTCTCTGACTGGCAACAGAAGAGGAAGTCAGATTTGAGCATAATGGGGATGTACACTAAGGAATTTTGCTTCCAGCTTCGATGTTGCAAATGGGTCTGTGGATAGCCTGTGAGAAGGCCCTTGGCAATAGACCGTGAGAAGCTTCTAGAAGATGACAACACCCCCCCACTGACAACCAGGAAACTGGAACCTCAGTCCTACAGCCACAATGTTGTCCTGCCCACAGCCTGAATGATCTTGGAGGTAGGCTCTTCCAAGATCCTTTGGTAAGTACCCAGTTAGCTGACTCCTAGAGTGTGAGACCCTTAGCAGAGAACTCATTTAAGCCATGCCAGACTTCTGACCTACAGAAACTGTGATGTAAGAAATGGGTATTGTTTTAAGCTGATAATGTGTGGTAATTTGTAACACAGCAACAGAGAAGTAATACAAGGAGATTTGACAGCATGTATTTGATAACAGTAACTGAAAAAGAGTAAACCACTTGTGCCACCAGCAAGTTAAGAATGCTTAATAAACTGAGGACAAAGCTTTATTATTAATCTTGTATTGTTAAATGAATACATTCAAGTGTTTCATAAACAAATTATATCAATCATTGTATAATGCAGTGGCTTTAAAACTCATCGTAATCTCTTTCCTCAGATCATAACTGTTTAGAACCAACCTGATCATTCCCTATTGTGTTATTTTTAAATTACCATGTACATGCTACATACCTAAATTAATGGCATGATATTTAAAGTAATCCGCAATCTCCATACCACTGAATCTAAAATCTCTGTCCGTATCACATCATGGCTTGCGATATTGTATGGATTGCTCATTGAAGGCATACCCATTCCCGTGAGTGGGGAAGCAGGATTAGTAACTCCACTGTGATATATAATGAGCTGAAAAAGATTCTTGTCTTACCCCGGGTTTCTTAGAAAATCAAGCCTGTGAAGTAGAGCTTGTGTGCTGATGCTTTATTAAGGAGTGCAGTCTCAAGACAGCAAGAGTAAGGGGGAAAGGGAAGGGAGGCAAGAAAGGAGGGAAAACATGTAAGTGTGGTTCATCACTGGGCTGGCCACAGCATCACTAGAAAACACAACTCGTTCCTTTTTTATGCAGGACATCTCCAGAGAGGCCATGTGCTTTTCACAATAGTCCATTGTGGGGACAGAGGGGACAGAATGTATCTGCCAGGTCTTTCCTGTCTCCTGTCTGTCACTGCTCAAAGGATGCCTGACACTTCTAGAAGCATGAACCCCCCCAACACTTCTGGGTGTGTCAGTCCTGAGCTCTCCAGTCAGCCACTAGGGAGGTCAGATCTCATGCCACTTCCCAACACTCCTGAGCCTAGGCGTGGTTGAAAGGTCAGGGGTGGGCTTGCTACAGTTCTGCCCAGTGAGCATAGTGAAGTCATACAAAAGCAGGGTCCTGGCTGGACACGGTTGCTCAGGTCTCTAATTTCAGCACTTTGGAAGGCCAAGGCAGGTGGATCACTTGAGGTCAGGAGTTTGAGAGCGGCCTGGGCAACATGGCGAAACCCCATCTCTACTAAAAATACAAAACTTAGCCTGTGCATGGTGGTGCATACCTATAGTCCCAGCTACTTGGGAGGCTGAGGTGGGAGGATCGCTTGAACCTGGGAGGCAGAGGTTTCAGTGAGCCAAGATCACACCACTACACTCCAGCTTAAGTGGCAGGGCGAGACTTTGTCTCAAAAAAAAAAAAAAAAAAGTCAGGATCCTCACCTTGGGGAGGCTGGGACAGCTGACAATGTTAAGAGATGGGGGAAAGGGAGTGGTCAAGACTTCTCTGCTGAGCAAGTGGCCAGCGCCCAGAGGCAGCTGGAGCAAGCAACTCTGGAGAAGAACAGTAACACAGATCACACAGTCCCAAATCTTATGTCGTTTGCACTGCACCACCCTTCCTCTCATACTAGTTTCTTGACAACTAGGTAACAGAGAATGGACGCATCTTCCCCCACCTCCCTGCCCCACTGCTTCTAAGAAACAACTACTTCTTTCCTTTCATCATCATTCTTAATTTTGGGTTCTTCCATCTGGTTCACATTTCTTCCCAGAAAGCTCTTGATGCCCTTATTTCCAAATCCTTTTCTGTACATGAAGCTATTTCTTTCCCACCAATTTTTGTAATCCATTCTGGAAAACACACCCAAAGCCCCTGGGCTTCTGCCCATTCTGCTTTTCATTATTGCAATTGCAATGTGGTTAGACCAGTAATGTCAAAACCGTGTGTGTGTGCGCGTGTGTGTGTGTGTTTGCAAAGAAGTCTCCTCCAAAGCTGATAAGAGCGGACTTAAACACACACACACACAGGCACACACACACACTTTTCTCCTGGGTAGTGCACTATTTGGACAGAGATAAGATTACATCTCTTGGAAAGGAGAAAGGCCTTGGTCTGAGGGATAAGTCTTCCAATTTTAAAATGGGAAATATTTCAAAACTGGTTGCATTAAGCCCTTACATTCAGGAGACCAAAACCTTACGAAGGGCATGAAAAATTTAAAAATAGTCCATTAATAAAGAAAAGCATTTTTCCCACAGATTAATTGGGCTTTGAGTTCTTTATCCAAGGCCTTCTTTTGACATTTCAGGGATTCTTGTATTTATATTCCAACTCATCAGAAATGGTCTTCAGGTGACCAATCACTTCTTGTGATTTTTCTTCCTCCCTCTTGTTTAGTTTTTCTCTTCTTCGGGCCTTTGGCTCACTTCTTTGCTACTGTTACCAGGACTGAAGTTCCTACCAGGGTTAAAAGAAAGACCTGTGAGTAGCAATGCTGTGTTCTCACACTTTTTCATCCAGAGCAGGAAAGGACCATTTATGGATTGATCTTCAATCAGAGAACCATGTCACCCAATCTCCCTGCTCTGCAACTTGCCACAAGATTGATGGTAAATATAATACATATGAAAATGAAGGAGAAAAATGTATGCAAAGCCTCGGTGCTGGTGCAGGGGCTGGAAACGATGTTGTGCAGTACATCATTTCATCGGAATTTCTCATTTTCAGGACATTGACTCTAAAATTACTGCAGCCGTAGTGTTTAAAGTTCCTGTATTGAGATTCCAGGGTTTAAGAAAAAAGATTTGAAGCCAGAAAAGCAAGCCTGACTTATTTGGACCCATGATGTAATGTGACCAGAAAAATTGCAAGGAAATTTTTAAATGCTATAAACACAGATACACACATACAGACACACAAAGATTGATGGGGGGGGGCGGGGCCTCAGTGAACTTAATACTGTGTCCAATACAGCATCAAGCAGGTTGCCAATAAAAGAAGGAACACAACATAATAGTAAACTAATGAAACTTAAGTTCACGTCCCTGAGAGGGGACCCAGCAATGGCCTAGCAACATGGTCAATATTTTTACAAGTTTTTGTAAAATTTAAGCTATTTTAACCAAAATGCTTAAGATTGCTATCTCTCTCCACTCCAATTTTCCTTCTGTATTGGGTGACATTAGACAGGCCATGAGCATTTGGGGGATCCAGCTAACAGAAGGTGAGTTGAGGATATTTCATTAGGGTTTAGTGGAAATCTAGGCTATATTTAGGTGGATCTCAGTCGCTTCTGTGTCAGTTACATGATTACCAGCGTTCTGGTAGAACACTGGCTTCTAGGAGTGCTCCTCCGGCTCCTGAGCCACACAGAGGTGCAGGGCAAGAGTCCACATCTCAGCATGAATATGAACTTCAGGGCCCAGCACCAGGAGTATGTTACGTAGTGGAGGAGAAACCAGAAGACAGCCAGAAGCTAATCATCTATGGGAAATTCTTGTAATCATCAGAGCCATTGATCTAGAGAATTCAAGTTTCACTGATGCCTCAAAAAGACAGAAGTTTTCTCCTCAATAAAGTCTTTTCCAAATTTGACATCAATCCTAAAAATTTATGTGACATTAATCTAACTTGGGACACTGGAAAAAAAATTACTGTAAACTATCAGTAATTTTTAAAAAATTCAGTCAACCATGCTAGAACAACTGAGTTATCTCTCTATTCTCTGTATGAAAAACGTATTACAAAATTGTTGTCCTATGAAGGGGCAATCAAAGATTATGAAACCAAAGAATGTATTTTTAATGTTCGTGATATTTGTTAGCTTTTTCAGATTTGTAATTGGTTGCAACTGTTTTCTCATTCTAAATACATGTTCTTTCATAACTTATTTAGTATTCATAACTGGTTACATATAATCTCATATTTTCTTCTGAAATATTTATTATCTTCTTGTTTACATTTAAATCTTCAGGGCATCTGGAATACACATATATATATATATTTTTTTTTTTTTTTTTTTTTTTCTTGCTTACATTTAAATCTTCAGGGCATCTGAACACACACATACACATACACATACACATACTTTCTATATATATATATATATATATATTTTTTTTTTTTTTTTTTTTTTTTGAGACAGTCTCACTCTGTCACCCAGGCTAGAGTGCAGTGGCACCATCTTAGGTCACTGTAACCTTCGCCTCCCAGGTTCAAGCGATTCTCATGTCTCAGCCTCCTGAGTAGCTAGGACAACAGGCCTGTGCCACTCTGCCCAGCCTGGAATTTATATTTGCATGTTTTGTGTAGTAGATCCATCTTCACTTTCTTCAAGAAAGATAGTTACACTGACAATATTTATTAATGATTTATAATGTTACTGTTTATTAATGAAATATTTAATAACTATATAATTTATTTCCTACTGCACTGAGGTACTACCTTTATCATATAGTTTTTCATATATACTGAGATATATTCTTTTATTGTAATTTTAACTTTTATTTTAGATTCAGGGAGTACATGTACATGTTTGCTATCTGGGTATCTTGTGTGATGCTGAGGTTTGAGGTACAATAGATCCTGTCATCCAGGTACTGAGCATAGTAACCAATACTTAGTTTTTCAATCCTTGTCCCACTCCCTCTCCCTCTACTCTAGTAATCCTCAGTGTCTATTGTTGCCATTGAGATATATTCTTGATTCTATATTCTATTCTACTGATTTGTTTATTCTGTGTCTATAACATATTGATTTTTATCATAGTAGTTTCATTGAATATACTGATCTAATAAGAAAAGTATCTATTTTTAGATACTTTTATTATTATTTTGAGGTGTTTACTTTTCTATATGAAATTTGAGATTATTTTATCCACTTAAAAATGGCTGAGAGTCTATTGGCATTATACTAAACATATGTAATAGTTTGGGGTAATTTGACATTTTTATGATATAATGTCTCCCCTTCTAAGAATGTGGTATGACCTTCTAGTTGTTGAGATTTATTTCAGGTTTCTTCATATAGCTTCTTCACTTTTTTTGCTAAATTTATTTCTAAATATTTCATAGTTTTATGTCAGTATCTTAAATTGAATACTTTTCCCACTTTCATTTCCACATTGTATTGATAGTATGAAAAACGTGCTTATGTTTTTTAAATTATTATTGATACAATTATCTTTCAAAATTATATTCTTATACATTTTTATTAGTGTCTCCTGGGTTTTCTGGGAATACTATTATATAATCAGCAAAAAAGGAGATAGCGTGATTTATCTCAATTTCTCTAGCACTGAGCACAGCGTCTACTACTGCTCAGGCACACCATAAATGTTAAGAACGAATGAACAAATGAATTAATGAATGAACAAAAATGTGGGTCAGAGATTATTCACATGGAACATCAAGTTCCTCACCATTGTAGTTCTCCAGTGAATTCTCCATCTTCCTTTTGAATGCCAGCACCATTTCTTTGATTGAAACTGCAGAAGTTTCCAAATCTAGTAAAGTAGAAGATGAATAAATATGATGACCAAAGGGAACACGTTCCTGAAGAGTGAAGGATCTTCCTGAGTGAATTGCAGGGTGTGTTCTTTGAGTTTCCCTTTTCATTCGAGCTGAGACAGAGAACACAAGGGAGGCTTTTTTATTCCACCCAGGAAAAAAGCAATGGACTGCCACTGCACTTTTGAATGAATTGGAAGGCATAAGGAGGAAAACAAAAAAAACATTTCTTTTAAAAAGAAAATGAGGCCGGGTGCGGTGGCTCACACCTGTAATCCCAACACTTAGGAGGCCGAAGCAGGTCGATCAACTGAGGTCAGGAGTTCGAGACCAGCCTGGCCAACATGGTGAAACCCCATCTCTACTAAAAATATGGAAATCAGCCAGGTGTGGTGGCATGCACCTGTAATCCCAGCTACTCAGGAGGCTGAGGCAGGAGAAGTGGCTTGAACCAGGGAGAAGGAGGTTACAGTGAGCGGAGATCACGCCAATGCACTCCAGGCCTGAGCAATAGAATGAGACTCCATCTAAAAAAAATAATTAAGAAAAGAAACAGGGAGCCAGTCAGAGGTTTGCCAGCAGAAGCATTTCAGAAAAGGGTCCAGGAGCACAGATAACAAAAATCAAGGCAGCCTGGGTAGCTTTCTAAAGTTCAGAGGAGAGTTTTTTTAAAACAAAGTCTGTAGGTGGTGATGAGGAGAAAACCAAAGTAATGCCAACTTATACATAGGTATTCATGTCCATTTTGGTCTTGATCCATATATTATATCCATACTTAAGCCTCACAAATGCTGTCTAATTGAACTAAAAGCGTGTGTTCACCAATCTAACCTCTCTAAGTCTCACATATGGTTATATGTGAGAAGAGCCAAGCCACTAGGCCTAAAATTACAACCACGGCCATTCACCTTATGGGAGCTATTAGAGTTTGTAGAATTGTAGGCATAATTTATTACTGAGGGAATTAGCCATTATGTTGCATACTTGAAATTCCAACTCAACTGAGTGTCAATCTGAGTCATAATAAATAATAAATAGGCCCCAAATGCTAGAAGCTTCTGACTTGGCGTCATAAGAGTATCACTTAATCCTGCAAGAGGTTTTCCAACAAACCACAATAGCTCCCTGCTTTTCTGCAAAATTAAAATACACATTTACAACAAATTTATGAGTGCACATGAAGAATTTTCCACTGTAAGAAACACCTTTGTTTTCAAAAACAGAAAATGATGATCGCCAAGCTGGAGAGCATGATGCAAAGTGCTCCCCATAAATTAGCAGCAAGAACACCACGTCCTAAGACAACCAGGAGAAAAGGGTTATGTTCGAGTTGTGGAAATAAATCCAAACTCTGGCACAGATTACAAAGGATGGTTATCTGAAGGATATCCAAACTGTTCTTCTAGGGAAAACAAAATGTTTCTATTAGGGAGTCCCTAATAGGGAAATCACTTGAGAAGGCAGCTAGAACACCAGCGTAGTAATTGGCTAGATAATCCCAAATACTGCACTTGAGCTGACAGCACAAGGCCAAATGAGGAGCAGCAGCTTTCACGCACATACCAGGCTACTAGGTAGGCTGATGCTTTGAAGCATCCCTTCGTGTTTTTTGTTGGTGAAAGGTTTGTAAAGAAAATGTGTCCCTCTAAATAAGCCTAGCCCTGCAAACACATTGAGTGCACTGGTGATGTGAGTGCATTGGTGATGTGACTTGGGTCTCTAATTTGCCTTGGATAGCAGCTGGCACCCTGCTGTTAGGCCTTTGCTCACAGCCTGGTCCTGATGGAAGTGCTCTTGCCCTTCCTCTCTGAGGATCTGCATGTTTCTCATCTACTGTGCATCTGCCAGACTTAGAATCACTCCCTTCCCTGAGACAGGCCATACTTCAATTCTTTTGATCACAAGATAGACTTTGAAGACATTAAGAGACAGACTTCTGAAAGAGTTTCCTATGACCTTAATTCCCTATCAAAGGCAATGCTAGGAAGATCCTGAGTGTTACCCACATTGTCACGCAGCCTGTGCCCAGCAGTGAAAATCTTCAATCATCCAAGTGGCCGTGATCCCTGGAGCCGGCCTTCTTCACTCAGTGGTTGGGATAGACAATAATGAGATTTTTCCCTGCAGCCCAAAACAGGGCCCCTGAAGATGACCAGAAAGGTAGACTCAGCAAGCAGAAGGAGTGCTCTTTATTTTCTCTGAGGCAGAATTATAAGTTAAGATTAATTGAAACCAAATTATAACATCACTTAATTTGCCTATAGAGTGACCATTAAGTCATGTTGCCTCCAACAATCCTGGTTTATACCTATTGTCCCTGAGTCATTATTTATGATGCTCTCTCTTGCATTCTCAAAATTGTTCCACTTTGAAAAATAAATGATATTGTCAACCCACTTATTTAGAATACCAAGGGCAAGTTCCTCCTTGATCCATACAAGGTAACATATGTATCAACAAGGACAAGTAAGCAGGATGCCAAAGTCAAGGGACTTTAAGCAGATTTAGAAACTGGGGATTTAGAAACGTTACTCATTCTCCTTTGGCACAGATATCAAGTTTATCTTTCTGTAAAGGGTGCAGCAACTTTGCATATCTTGCTGGAGAAAATCATAATCTGTTGGTTTCATCTCTTCCATTAAAATGAAAATGTGTTACACAGCTGTGTTGTAGCTTCCCAACAGAGAGCAGATGACCCACCTGAACGAGCATAATTCAAAGAGGACTTGTTTACAATAGTGTGGATGTAAGGGGACCACAATGAATAGTGCAGAAACCTGACAGTTAGTGCCAACCAAACTGGTATCACTGCAGGCCAAAGCAAGGAGGAGATGCAAGGCATCTTGTAAATTGGCTTCTGGAGAAGAGGACAGTCTCCTCTCATGATACAACTCAAGTTTCCCTTCTTTTATAAACCAAACCCCACAATCTCAGCCCATAAGGATCCTACCCCAAAGCTCTATCACAAACTGCATTATGCATCTGGCACTCACAGAGATGAATGTGTGTTCTTACACCTTTTCACCGTACAGGTTGAGTATCCCTTATCCAAACCACTTGGGACCAGAAGTGTTTTACATGTCAGACTTATTTAAACTTTGGGATATTTGCATTATTCTTACCAGTTGAGCATCCCAAATCCAAAAATCTGAAATCCAAAATGCTCCAATGAACATTTTATTTGAGCATCATGTCCGCACTTAAAAACTTCTTATTCTGGAGCATTTCAGCTTTCAGATTTTCAGGTTTGGGATGCTCAACCTGTATTGTCTTTTAACTGAGATCATAAACGCCATGAAGGAAGGTAGAGACCACATTTCTTACCTCTAGATCTCAAGCATCACAGCACCAGTGTTTCTAAACCATTTGTTTTCTGGCTACAACACATGAAACCAATCACGTTCGTATGCAAGACGTTCCCCAAAGGCATCCACTGGGTTATGCATCATTCCTACCATGCTCCCTCATTTATCTCCCACTCAAGAAGGCATACCAGAATGCAGATAAGTGAGGTCAGGTTATTGTATAGGTAATGTCGAATCTACTCCAACTTTTTAATGTACATTGTATACAAACTATGTTGTTACTATTAACTGGTGTCTGGCAACACATCTCACAACCTCCCTCGCACACTGTGTGTCATAATGGCACAAACACATAAAGTACTTGATGATAAGGAAAAAGGATTCACAAAGTGGATAAGAAATGTGGAGGAAAAGGCTGTCTCAGTCACTGTGGACACAGGCGTAGACCTATAGGAGAGACCCCAAGAACCAGCATCCCAGCATGCTATTGCTGGATCTCAGCAGATATTCCACTTTTACAGTCCCAGAAGAATGCAGCCAACTTGCCTTACACGCTACCTAGCGCAACTCTGAGTTTTATAGATGAAGAAATTGGGATATGGGATCTGAGCCTGATCATACAAAGTACTGATCAAAGTGATGTTGGAGCCCATAACTAAATCAAAGACATTCAAGGAAAAATAACAACAACAACACTTTTTTCTTACCTGGAAACCAATGAATTCATTTGTATTTACTGGTTCCAAATATTTTCTGATTGTTACCTTGTCCAAAGTAATGACACTGTTCTAGGTAATGATGATACATAGTAAACAAAACCAAAAATGGTCTGCTCTCATTTCTGTGGGTCAGGAAAAGCTTTCTAATGTGGTCACATTTGAACCGAGAGGTAAAGGGAGTGAGGGAGTCACGTGGTTCTTTAGGGTAAGAGTGTCCCAGGCAGACAAACGAACCAGAGCAGCATGTACTTGGCATGTTGCAAGTGAGGAGACCATGGTGGCCAGACTGGAAGGGGAATAAGGGGAGAGTGGCTGCAGGTGAGATCAGAGATATGGAAGGGGGTAGATCATGTAGGGTCTTGGGTTTTACCCTGGGTAAGATGGGAAATCACTGAAGGATTTTCATCAGAGGAGACCCGTGACAATATGTTTTTAAAACATCACTCTGGCTAGCTTGTGGAGAAGAGACTGGGAGAGCAAGAGAAGAACCAAGTGGGAAACTATTGCACAAATCTAGGAGAGAGATAGGCAGTTTGGACAAGGAAAATGGGCCTGAAGCAGAGTGGTCAGATTCTTAACATATTGTAAAGGAATCACTGACATATGAGGATTGATTGGATTTGAGCTGTGAGAGGAAGACGGGAGTAAAAATGAGGCCTAGGCTTTTGACCTAGGAAACTGAAAAATTAAAGTGGACATTTACCAAGAGAGAGGAGAATGAGGGAAGAGCGGGTTTGGAGAGGAAAGTCAGGAGTCTGGTTGTTTTGCCAAGTTAGATCTGCCTTTTACAAGGCTAAATGGAATATCCAGCAGGCAACTGCACACAGAGTGTACAGTTCACAAGAGAGGCTGGGGTTGTCTGCACAGAGGCGGTATTTTAACTCATAAGCCAGGATATGAGGGCAGACAGAGAAGAGGGCCCAGGACCAAGCTCAAGTTCAAAAACTGTGCTGCCCTTCCCATACATCACAT